GATAAAAAGGACATTTTACTACTTTTACAACAGGCATCTCGCAATTTTTCCCTTTTAGACCTGGAGAAAGGCTCACATTGTATCATACTTGCCAGAACTTCTTAGACACCGTGAAATATTTCTCTCTTTAAAACCAAATAAACATTTTACCTCAACAACTCTATTAACGACCAATCAAACCATCGCCTCCCTTTATGACAGGAGCATAAATCCCGCACTGCCACATCCGCTCCACCATGGCAGTGGAAGGAAATTGCTCCACACAGAGAAAAAGGGATGCTAATGACACTTCACCTTCGTGATGGTGTGTGAGTGTAACCAATGGAAATGTTGGATTGGGTCAGTGGTATTCACCACGAATGTCGATATCTCCACCACACCTCTCCTCACTCCTCAGTCTTCCTTCTATGGACATCGTGCTAATTGGTGTCCACACACACCGAATGTTCCACCACCCTGTGCTTACACCACCAACGAGTGGCGAATGGCAGTGGTTGAACAGTGTGTGAGTGGAGGAAGGCTGATGCATCCATGACTGTGGCGACTAGAGGAAAAGCTGACTTCGGTGTGAGGTGTGATTGGTAGATGGAGTGGGACATGCGAAGGTGGGTTGACAGGGCAGATTTTTCTATCCATTCACTTGTCATGGCAAGTTGGATGAAGTGATGGGCTGTCAAGTGCTGCTATTTGTGGTGAGTGAGCAGCCGAGTTGATGGCTGAAATACTGGGGGGGAAGTGCCATTTATATTTGAGCAGTAGAGGAGAGAGATGTTATTTGTTGAGGGGCAGGGAGTGGGGTAAGAGGGAGAGGTGGAGGGGGAGGTAGAGGGAGAGAGAACAAATGGAGCTCGTGATTGTGACTGCAACAGCGAGTGACTGTAAATGAGGGATCGAGTGACTCCGACTGAGGCAAATCCAAAAAGGAGTGCAAGTTTGGTGAGGATGGGAGAAAGGAGTGGATATTGATGTCGGTAGTGGAGTGGCTGTTCTTTGCTGTTGTTTTTTCTCTTGTTAAGTTGCTCATAATCACCACCATTGTCAGGCGTCATCATCAGCCTATCCAGCTGGTGCATAGACACATGCCCTTCATGGTACCTCAAACAAGAACGAGGCCTCGTTGTGTGCTCAGTGTCGTCATGTAAACTAGATGCAAAATTTATTGTTGTTTATTAATTTAATCATTTATGTGATGTGGGAAGCAATGAGGGAATGAAGGAGGCAGTATTGCTACCAGAACATGGATGTCTGTTATCCTCTTTAGCTAAAGTTCATGCAATCCAACTGACCATGGTGTTGTAGGCGATGAATGAGGAGAGTAATTGAATGTGACCGAATGAACCGACTTGTATCACAATGTCCACATTCGTGTTTGCTGGGTTCTAGGAGCACCTTTTTTGCCCAATCGGATGCTTCATTAAAGTAGATCAGACCAGATCAAATGAGATGAGATTTTCCCTTAGGAATGGGAACCTCCTCTTCCTGTCACAATGAAATCGAGGACATTGGGAGAAACCCAAACCATGTGTCTGCTGCTAATGACATGTATGCACCATCCGATGCGCGCACGAGGAAGTGGCGCATCCTCACTCCTAGTTGTAGCAAGCGTGTACGTGGAGGACAATTCCTCCTCCCTTCCATGTAGCGTAGCACGAAGCAAAATATTATTAATTTTGGTGGCATTTGTGTTTGATGATTGAAGCACTCACGTGTGCCAAGTC